CGGAACTTAATACAAACACAGATGACACTGATTAACAGAACACAGGTGTATATATAAGTTTATTGTTAAGAGGAAAACCCCTTGAGATGTGACATCTCGTTTTCGAGGGGACCTCAATAAAAACATACTTCACATACATAGATACTAACAGAACAAAGACAAAAGCTCTCCATCACACCAAAACCACCCATATCTTCCCCAATCCAACCATTATATATTAGGCAATAAACAGTCATTCATATAGACAATTGAGAAGAAGAAAAAAAAAACCAAAGAGAACAAAAAAACTACATATATATACATATATACATACACACACATATAGGAAATACAGATGACCTGACAATGACAGAGAAGACGACACGTGATGACAGGCAGATGAAAAGTCCAATGAAAACAAACTAAACACAACTGTGACACAAATGTCTTAGGCGTGTTGCAACCTTCACAAAAATGTTCAAGTTAAATGGTTTGCTGTAATGTGCCATTTGTAAATATAATTTCCAAATATTCTGTGTGCCATACATTGTAATAATCAAGTGATATTTTTGAATTCACAAAGAATGTTCAAAAGAGTGCAAACAGAGATCTGATCTCACCCTCATCTAGTTATTACATGAAGAAACAGAACAACTGACTGTATCTGTATATTAACTGTATATAATTCCACTGACTGAATAGAATTTATAGTAAAGTTATCTAACTGGAAAAATAACTTTTAAAACGAATCTTATTAACTTTTTAATGACAGATGTGTTGATTTCACTGCTCATTTCTTTACCGTGTGATTCATTGTTTTCTTTCAGAAGGAGAAAGACTGATGTCATGTGATGGCAAAGGGATTAGAGGATCCCAATGATCCAGGTCATAGTTAGAAAGAAGGGGTTACTATGTGAACATAGGAGACCATAAGTCTGAGTGGTCGTCCATGTCATGTGGAGTCCCACAAGGCTCAGTTCTAGCGCCACTCCTGTTCTACCTGTACATGCTCCCACTGAGACAAATAATGAGAAAGAACCAAATCCCAACCATGGTTTAAATTGTAATTAAATAATAATCAAGAATAGCGTTAGTTCTGGCAGGTCATGTAAGTCGAGCTCGCATCAGCTTACTCTCAGCTGATCCATGTCAGTTTACACATCAACAACACAGATCTGAGTGAAATACATAGTCTGGCATGAAAAAAAAACACACACAAATATCTGACCAACAATCCAAACAGAATGAGCAGTAGTGTAAAAATAAAGTAACCAGAGTAGTCACCAGTGGAATCACAAAAACGTGTGAGAAACTTTTTAAACAACAATACAAGACCAAAACAGACAAAAAGCCCAGAAGTCACATGACAAAATAGTAACCAATTTAAAAAAAAAAAAAGTAAAATAAATTTATTTATTTAAATGAGCCCAAACACGAGTTGAAACAACCCAGCATTTTTAGTGTGTATGTAGATGACACCAGATATCACCTTATGACTACAGCTCCATTGACTCCCTGTGCCAGTGCATTGATGAAGTTAACAGCTTGATGTTTTCAGTTATTGTGAAGTGTAATTTCACAAAACATTTTAGAATAGAAAATGTCAAAGATAAATTAGGGAGAATCAAAGAATTCTGAATAATTTTCTGCAATTTTGTGAAAAATAAGTAATCATGTAGTCAATTAAAAGTAACTATTCTGATTATGAGCATTTAAAAAGGAATATAATCTAATTACAAGTGCTTATTTTTTGGAATCTGATTACACTGTAAAACAAGTTGAAAAACTGTAAAAGATTCGACATTTCATGTAATTTTTACAGTTAAATACTAATAAATGTACAGTTTTTAGAAGTAAACAAGACGAATCAAATTATAATTTAAGGCGAAAAACAAACTGATATTCAGATAATTCCGTGTTTGACACTTCAAATTTGAAAGATTTTTTTCAGATGTTTCTTTTTTATCAGTTATGCTCATTTGGGTTTTATGTTATATCTTCTGTTTTTTAATTAGTGTATTGCATCATTCAAGTGTCGTGTGTGACCATGATGGTGTTTGTGTTTCACCTTCTATATACAGGTGAATCTCGAACCATTTGAATATTGTGCAAAAGTTCGTGTATTTCAGTAATTCAAATTAACACTAATATATTTTGTATATATAACTATATACATATGCATGATTAAACTTTTCTGAGGGCCGACATTTCTGTATTTATAATCATTTTTTTAATTGATTTCATGTAATATTCTAATTTTCTGAGATTTTTAAATTTGGGGTTTTCATAAACTGTAAGCCATAATCATCAAAATGATAACTTTTGCAAGATATTTTAATTTTTCGAGTTTCACCTGTATGTAATTCAGCAGCTTGTGATAAACTTCTTCATGATTCTTCATGAGACTTCCTCTTTTACCACTTGCATTATAATGGTGGTTGTCAGTATATGTTAAAGGAACAACATAGATTTTAGTAGCAGTGTGTGTTGTTAGATTTACCTGTTTAAATATTAACATATCACACCAATCCTCAGGTCCTTGCACTGGCTTCAGTTGCATTTAAAAGAGATTTTCAAGGCCAAGCTTCTTTTTATTGTCTCCTTTATGAGAAATTTGTTTTGGATGAAAAAACTGCTGCAACATCAACCCACAAAAAACATACTTTATTCACCATTAACAAACCATCTGTATTTTAAAGTACTGTTTCTTGTTTATAAATCACTCAATGGCCCAGGACCTCAATACATTGCAGATATTCTCACTGAATATAAACCGACTGAATATAATAATAATAATAATAATTCATTACATTTATATAGCGCTTTTCTAGGCACTCAAAGCGCTTCACATGGAAGGGGGAATCTCCTCAACCACCACCAATGTGCAGCATCCACTTGGATGATGCGACGGCAGCCATAGTGCGCCAGAACGCTCACCACACACCAGCTTACTGGTATATACAGCTTATATAAACTGATCATTCATATCCTCAGTCAGAAATACCAAGCAAGGAGAGTCTGCTTTTAGCTATTATGTCATCCGCAGCTGGAACCAGTTTCCAGAAGACATCAGATGTGCTCATTCAGTAGTCATATTCAAATCCAGACTCAAAACACATCTGTGCTACTGTACGTCCGACTGATTGAAAAAATGCAAAAGATCAAAATCTTTTTTTAAATATTTTTTATGTAAATGACTTTGAATTATTATTGTGCATGAATGTGTTTTATAAATAAACTTTATATAACATGTGGCCACGGGGTCCCGCTCATGTCACTTGCTATAAGTATAGGGCCGGCACATCCTGCAAAAAGATAAGCAGGATGAAGAATGGATGATACAATATTGAGCATCTCAAGAAAATGTTGAAGTGCGTGAAGATCCACTGCAGACATTATATCAAATGAAAATATGGCAGACAAATAGAGCAGCTTGCAGTGACCTGAACAGTCCTGAAACACATGGTGAGACCGAAGAGAGCAAACGCTGTAGGCAGCTGTGCTCTGAAGCCCTCACTTCAAATAAATTAGCAGAAATTAAGTAAATGGTAGTCGGGGTTTTGAATGAATCTGGTCAGGTGGTACAGCAGTCACATGGTCTAAGTAGGAGCTCTCCGAAAATTCCCATGAGTACAAGCTCACAATGTCATGAACGCTTTTATGAGTTGAAATCTCGAAATTATGGTAATTTAAAAATGCTTTTGAAATTACTAGGCCTGGAAGTCCAAGGTGATGCCAAAGCAAAGATGAGATCCTGGCAGAACAGAGTGACTCCGACACACGACATGGTCGTAGAAAACATCTCATAAAATTAAAAAAAAATTCAGATAACATCGTCAGATTTGAAACAAAGCATGACTTGTGGCTTCACCGTCGTGTTTCTAATTTTCTACACTACAAGCACATCATTTTTTTTATTTAAATATATATCGTTAATATTTTGATTTTTGAGATTCAAAATCTTTATATTAATAACAGTAGGAGTCTTGAACTGTAAACTCTCAAGTGTTGGCTTATACAGTATGTTGGTTATGTGTCTATCAGAATGACTAATGAGCAGAAACCTTTTTATTTTACGTGTCATTTATGACCCACTTACCAAAATAGGGTGTGCAGGAGAAAGGGTTAATAAACACCAGGAGAATAGATGAAGAATAATCACACTATATCTTGACAAGATCCAACAGAGAATTGAACAAAACATGGAGTACTTAAACACAGAGAACAAACATACAGTAGGTAACATAACATCCATTAGTAACATACCAAACAGGGATAATTTAGTGATTATGGCAATGAGAACTAAACTGAAAGGAAACACAGGAACATGAACAAAAATGCAAAAAAACACAACATGTGACACCATTGCAAGAATTCATGAGAATTCATGGCTGGTGAGTAGCACTGTTTCATACACTGAGCAATGCTGTTTTTACTCACATTTGCTACTTGGAGAGTATATAGCCTATATATTTGCCAATGATGAAGCATGTGTGCAGCTTAAACCCTGCCCCTGATGATGACATCATTTAATGCCATAATAACCATATCCTCAAACCTTCCGACACAATATACTTATATTCGTACATACATGAATTTGATTGACAATGCACAATTTGCCTTTTCAATGCTTTTATTAATTTGAGAAGTGTTTCAGAGAAGATATTGAAAAGAGATTAAAGTTTAGAAGAGATTTGATTTCAGAATAACATTTTTGTAATATTGGAAAAATGTAGTTCAATCAAAGTAACTGTGGAGCAGCATGATGGTCTCACAGGTCCTTAACACAAATATAGGGGAATGAGGCTGAACAGGGCACATCGTTCCAGCAACGGTCAGCTGTAAAGTAGAATTATGAAATGAGTTACTCTGATCATTATAGTGTCAAAATAAAATAGATTGTTCAACTTAAGGAACTTTGTGAAATCCAAATGAGTAATTTCATTATGATGTGATTTATGATGTAAAATTGGATTGTAAATTATAACTGAAAGTATTAAAAAATCAGGCTGTATTCGTACAGGAATAGTTGATCTCCAAACAGTTCTCGGCGCCCTGGTGATTGTCAGGAAAACCAGCATTGTTAGGTTCTCCAGTCCACCAGTTGGTATACGAAAACACAGTTCCATCACTCCACAACCACTGTCCTTCCTAAAGAGTGAATAAAAGAGTGCACTACTGTTGTCAGACTTCAGGAAGAAGCGAATTAAGTTCAGATTTGAAGTCAAAACATCTTCATTAGAAACTTTGCCTTTACTGTTTAAAGCAGAAATTTTAGTTTAGACAAACGAATAGGTCTCTTTAGGACACACAATTGAACTTACTTGTACAGCATCATGACCACCAACCCAAGCACGTGTGGAAGAAGAAGGCAACAGACTCAGCAGGAATTTATTTTCCAGGTTATTACGCACAGATGCGAGATTCGCACCAAGACTTTGACAGTTTCTCTAAAGAGACAGATTTTTGTTATTGTCAATACAAAATCTTTTTTGTTTTTACCATAAGGCAAAAGTAACAACATTTTAGACATTTCCAAATAAACAAAGTCTGCTCTGATTGATTATTTTCTCAGTACCAATTTTCTGTACTATTTATTTGCAGAAAATAAAGTTTTACTATCAAAAAATAACATTCCCACTTTATAGTATGCAATGACTATTAGGATTTATTTGATAGAATCCTCGTAACAATTTGCACTAACACATTTTAAGTAAATTTTACTAATACTGCTCTGTACAACTCCATGCACAGGTCTATGGTCACCACCTCAAAGAGCACGCACAGAGAAGTCCAAATTAAACATGATTTAATGACTCGTAAATGTAAGTACACATTGATGGCCTACGACATGAAACGAGCGGTTTGTGTGAGAAAACAAACAGTATTTAGGCTATATCGTTTTTACCTCTTGTAAACACAGCCACGTCCAAGTGATCTGAGGGCGCCGGCGCTTCGGCCTTCGGAAGTGATCTCTCGCGCGTGTACGTCACTCATACAATTGTTTTTTTTTTGTTTTTTTTTATTGTTTTCTTTTACGACGGTTTAAACATCCCGGATAAGCGCAAATTAGTACCATTTTAATTAGTCGTCTTACCTACAATCTCTGTTCTGTGTAAAGTGACATACACGCGCGAGAGATCACTTCCGGCGCTTGCGCAGACCGAAGCGCCCGCGCCCTCAGATCACTTGGACGTGGCTGTGGTTACAAGAGGTAAAAACTATATAACTACTGTTTGTTTTCTCACACAAACCGCTCGTTTCGTGTCTTAGGCCATCAATGTGTACTTACATTTACGAGTCATTAAATCATGTTTAATTTGGACTTCTCTGTGCATGCTCTTTGAGGAAGTGACCATAGACCTGTGCATTATATGACTGACAGACAAGAACGGTTTGACCCAAAAAAAATCAAAATTAAAACTACTGCGGAAACAAAGACACCTACATCTCGGATGCCCTTGAGGTAAGCTAAAACATACCAAAAATTAATTTCAAAGTGAACTATCCGTTTAACTAACTTAACTTTAACAAAAAAAATAAAAAATTCCAAAGACAATATAACACTGAATTAAACCACACGTTTAAAGTGTATGCCTTACTTAGAAACATCTAAATAAATAATACAATATATTGAATAGATTACATACTGTATCTATATAATAAAAGTATCATGGCACCTGAACACCTCAATACTACACAATACACAATGACTTTACCATTCGATAGATGGTTTTTGTGTGATTGTGTTATTTTGAAAACGAATCTAGATGTCACAAAATGGCAAGTTACTAAACCTAACAAAAGCAATGATAAAACGGTGTAAACACAGCTGGAAAACGGTGAAAATCAACCTTTTTAATTATTCATGCCCCAGTGCATGATGGGAACACCAGTATTATAAAAGTTGAGTAGGTTTTACTTAAATTTATCTTTGATATTTACGGTTTAATTTCTACACATTTATAATTAAGTACTAATTTATAATTTACTTTGTTTTTTTAATTATTGCCTGAACTAACTTTTCCTTGTAGAAATTACATTAGTTTTTTTTTCTGTAGTATTTGCTTCCAGACAAAGCAAACAAATTCGCTCACCAGAGAATCATTTTTAAATTAATCATTTTGACAATGCACTAAAAAACGATTCGTTGGCTGAACAACCATTACTTATAAAAGTAATTAATTAAACACAAAAAATTAAGTATTCATAACTATTCAACCTCTACTTAACAATAGTGTGTGTAACACAAAAATATAAGTTACTAGGTGAACTTAAATGTATGCATAAATAAAATGAAAAAACATAAGTCATGTCAACTACTATAATAATTGCTTCAAAATTAAGTAAATCGAGCATACAATTTTAAGTAACCATACGAGCCACGTGATATGGAATTTCCCGTGATGCCTTTCCAGCCAAAACTTGGAGCCATTTTATACGTGGATTTCTTGGCGACGTCATCACTGCTTGCACACGCAACCAGGAGGCAAAAGACCCGCAGTCTTTGTACGTAAAGTAAATTAAATGAGGTACTAAAGTAACGTTATATGTGTGCAGTCATGATATGTTGCAGGTCGTAAAGTAACCAGGTTAACTTATATAAAAGCAAATTCGGGCTCTATAGAGGCTATTACATTACTAACTTAGTCTAACATGATAATTCATACATGCATCACAGTATGTCCGGATTTTGATTCGTAAACAGTTGGACGTTTTACATAATGTTATATTAATATGAAACACAAACAAACAGATCTAACTCTGAAATTGCAGTTTATTATTGAGTCAACAAGAAATTACAAACAATGCGAAATCTACGTTAATTACAATGTTCTTTTACAGAACTCGGCATAACAGCATTACTGTTTTATTTGAATATATTTTAAGAAGCAATTTAAAAGTTTGGGGTCAATTAGAACTTTTTTTAAGAAATAAAATAAATTAATACTTTTATTCATCCTGAGAATCTCATTAAGCATTATCAGGTGAGCATCTAAAATTGATCAATAACCAAGTTGAGCTCCAAACCTAAATAAACAACTTGTATAATGGCAATTAATTAATTTAACCAAATTAGATGTAAGAGGCTGTAAGAGATTTATTTTATTTTAAAATATAAAGATACATTTCTTTCTCATTCTGTGTTTTATATATATATTTGTTTTATATATCAAAAATATATACATCACGTTACATATATTTTTAAGTAAAGAATGTTGTGTGAACTAAAATATTTAAGTACATATAACAAAGGTTTTCTTGTTAATTTTAAGTAAAATTACTCCAAGCTGGAATTACTTAAGTATGATGCAAAAATGGTGCATATATATTAAGTAAATCCAACACATCATGTTGTAACACATTACCTCTGCTGTGATCCAGTTACTCGGATCAGAAATGAACTTGTAGCATCGGAGTGCAAGTTTTATCCATGTAGCGGGGCATCTTCTGGATAAACCAACTGCACCCAGTCTATTAACATTTCTTGTAACATTCACTGCAAAGAATGTTTTAATATTTATTTATGTAGCTTATTTTATGTTTTTTTGTGATTATGTGATGACAAACACGGTAAACCCCATAATAATTATGCAAATACTAGTCAATGAAAAATTTTACATTTCCAAAATATTTTTAAATAGCAAGGGTTTTAACAAATAAATGTCTTGGTTACCTTCTGTATTCCCCATGGAGAAGATAATGAAAAGTAGTAGACAACTTTTCAGCATTGCCATGATGAACCTGAAATTAATAATCAGGAAAAGTTAAATGTCTGCATGCACTCATATGCTAAACACTGCAATCCGCAATGCATTTAAAGACAAAGCTCAAAAATACTTCAGGTTGAACATTTATTCAGAACTCACTTTGGTTTTTAAATTGTTGCCTTCAGAGTCTCAGAGGAAGATTTTGTGAAGAGCCAGAGCCTGTGTAACACCATGACATTCTTATATCTATTGTAAGACTGGAAAAACTGGAAGAACTGGAAGAGAGGGCTACTCTCTGAGAAAATAAATTACCATATTAACTCACTGTCGTACACCATTCGAGACGCAAGTCTCACCCCAGAATCATTCTAATCTACATCTCTGTCCCTGTGGTGAGATCACCTAAAATTCATCCAAAACATATGGTTTAATGTGAATAATAACCATCGAGTATTATACATATTACGTATCATTGAAAATGTCTCAGGGTGAATACTTTAAATACTGTTGTACTGTTGAATGTAAATACGATGTGTGAGCAAAATTATTGTGTTCATGTATGCATGTAGTTTACTGAGTTTTTAGTTTCATATTCTGATTTATATTGTGTGCTAACATTAAAAACGGTCATCCCCCCCTTTTCTGCATAGACATAAAAATGCACTAAAATGAGTGTAATTCATGAATGATTTGGAACACAGACCTAAGGTTGGACTATTTTGAAAAAAATACATTTTACAGATTATTTCTGAAGCGTTATAATTGTGCCTGAAAAAATATTACAAATAATGACGTTTAAGTTGAATTTTATTGTTATGAAAATGTAGAGAAAGTCTGGTCACTAGGAACATACTACAACCTTTGGAGCCTTTGGAATTACTGTTTAAGTTTTACATTAAAAAAATATGTGTGTACTGTATGTACAGTACACAAAAGTACACTAAAGCAGCCTAGGTGAATACGCAGCAAACATCAAACCTAAAACTAACTAACTTTACCCCGCTTGGCAACTTAACTTTTTAGGAAAACTTGACTTTGTCCGTGGCGCTGTCCACGTATGTGGGACTGAAGGTCCTACATGATCCTTCCTGCAACTTGGGTAAAGTTGGTTTTATATTCTTACATTTGCGGACTTCCGCGTTCAATATCTCGTGAGCTGAATATTGTTACTACACAAATAACATTGTTTTAATATTATATAAATTTTCTTCAAAACGAGCTTGACTTCGGTTTTGCACTTTACAGATGGTCCCTTCTCAGTGTTTCATGTTTATAAAGGAGACTCGTGATGGGTCAAAGACTAGCTTTTATTCAGCTCACTTCACATAGCTATCCTCGTGAACTCAATGTTCCCTTTCGAAGGGAACTCGCACTGCGTCGAATGACGCTTTGGGGAACGCCTCAGGCGTGACAGGTGTCTGAAATCACTGTCAAATCACGTCAATCACATTGACTGGCGACAGCCCGTAAATCATTAGCGTGAATGATTAACGTGCGACCTAAGTATAGGGTGCCTTGCAAACATGACAAATCATCTTTTCGTCTTCAGGGACTGTTTTGTAAGCTGTAACCGCTTTGAAAATCAGGTAATTATGAAATGCTTTCAGAAGTGTGCAGACCCGTGCTCAAGATATCTGAAGCCGGGTGACACACACGAACTGTGCATTTTTCTGTCTGGGAAGGAAGACGCGCACAGGCAGTTCTCGAGGGAACTGCCTTACCAAATTGTGATCGCTCCGCTCTCGCCTGTCCCTCTTCTCGAGAGAAGAGGGTTCAGCGTCTGGATGTCACAGATGAAGCCCGCCGATCGCCTTGAGAGGGGTGTAATCCTCTCAGTCGATTCGGCAGCTGACGAGGGTAAGCTGCAAATGGATGAAGTTTTTCCCAAAAAAAAAAAAAAGGGGGACAACTTAGTCCGGCAGCGAGCGCTCTCCCGGACAAACAGGAGATGGCTGATGAGGGTGGTAATAATAGGATATATCCTGTATTTTCTCAGCCACCCTGCCCCATGTATGCTGAGCTGGGTGGTGTTATGGAACGCGCCGCGGGCAGGCTGCAGCTGCCGTGGTTGCTCGTTGGGGGAGAAATCGCTCGCGATGAGAGCGGTTTTTCCCCGGTCATAGAACCACCAGCTCAGGTGAGCCTTTCATTTCTTCCCGATCTCATACTGAGATCGAGAGGACATGGAAGAACCCATACTCTGCCTGTATCCACCAACATCAGCAGGCTAGTCTCGCTGATGTTGAGAGGATAGGAGAGCGTGGGTATGCGTCGATGGGGAAGAGGGATCTGAGGGAGGTGATCCAGCACAAACGCACATTGCGTCAAGTCAAGTCAAGTCACATTTATTTATATAGCGCTTTTCACAATACAGATTGCATCAAAGCAGCTTCACAGTGATAACATGAAAGTAGTACAACACAGTTCAATAATATTGTTGAATATTAAATATCCCCAACTAAGCAAGCCAAAAGCAAGGCGACAGTGGCAAGGAACCAAAAACTCCATCAGATTGGATGGAGAAAAAAACCTTGGGAGAACCCAGGCTAGTCAGGGGCCAGTTCTCCTCTGGCTAACAATCATAGGGTTTTAAAGAAGCTTTACAGTAAGTGCATATCAGAGAGTACCTGGAAAAAATACATTTAGTTAATCATGTAATATTTAGGGGATATTTAGGGGATAACATATCGCCGGCGTTGAGTCGTCTCTTCGCAGGCGTTGAGTCGTCTCTTCACAGGCGTTGAGTCGTCTCTTCACAGGCGTTGGTCTTCTCATCACAGGCGTTGAGGCATCCGAAATCCCCGTGAGAGGCAGGATACCATACTGGAGCCTACGAACGCCATTTTTCTCGGGACAAGTCCCGAGATAACAGCAGAAAGGCAGATGGGAAATAATTAGCATAGCTGATGTTCATAATGATTTCCATTACACGGGAGTAGGTGTTAGAAAACCATAATCTCACAACTCTCCGCAACCCAAACTCTCCGCAACCCAACCGCAACCATACGGACCGACCCGTTTGTCTATAAGGCTGTCGAGCCCCACTGGTGCTTTAAGCAGTTTCAGTGGCAAACGGTTCCGTATGGCATAGCAGAGGACTAAAAGGTAAGCATTATGTGAATGCTTGACTAAAGAGACACGTCTTTAGTCTAGTTTTAAACTGTGTCAGCGAGTCAGAGCATCGGACCGTATCGGGAAGGCTATTCCAGAGTTTTGGAGCTGAATGCGAGAATGCCCTCCCTCCTTTCGTGGACTTCGATATCCTAGGAATGACCAGAAGCCTTGAATTTAGTGATCTTAGAGAACGCGGTGGATTGTAGGGCGAAAGAAGGTCCGTTAAGTACATAGGAGCTAAACCATTAAGGGCTTTATAGGTCAGTAGTAGTACTTTGTAATTGATACGGAACTTAATAGGTAACCAGTGCAGAGATGATAAAATCGGTGTTATATGATCATATTTTCTTGATCTAGTAAGAACTCTCGGTCATGGATCATCTTCCCTGAGGGCGTGATTATATCTTAGCCCTTTCCTCTCTTCCCCGACTCCCCAGGCGCTTCTTACATCAGGCCTGAGACTGGGCTCATGGTTAGAACAATGTTCTGATGGCCCGCCTCGGCTTGGTTAGTGAGAGTGCCTCTTTCAGGTATGTAAAGGTGGTAGACCCCATGTTCATGAAGAACTGTCTGGTGAGTCTTCACTTCGCACGCCGCGGGTGAGCTGCTGGTCTTTCAAAGAGTATTTTTTGTGATTAAAAAATAATATGTTTCTCTTTACAGACCTCGTTCCCTGTATAGAGTTATGGGGCCATATCAATGTAATAAGGTAAGAGAACTTTATTGGATTATCAGGGCCCTGAAGTTCCCCGTTAGGTGGCCAGAACGATAATTATGTTAGCCTTCGGGCTTTTAGCCACCTCAGGGTAGAGTAGTTGGTCCCTCTATAGGATGTTTTACTTAGAGTGTTGACTGACGCTAGAGCTTCAGATAGATCTTATGTACGGCCCATGGGACCGTTTTGACTTTTCGGAGTATTTCGCCCCTTGATCTCTGTTGAGTTTTCATTAGGTTGAGCGTTTCTGCAGCCCTTTGTATGGAATAATACAGACTATATTCTTTAGTAGGCTGTGGCTCCTCCGAGCCCTCAGATAGATCTATGCTTACAGGCTGGCCCTCAACGGCCAAGGCTGTGCCAGGGATATTAGAGGCGTTCTGCTAAAATTAGCATTTCTTCCTCTGACCCTTCACTTTGTGAATGTAGGTTTCTGGCATCCCTGTATAAACAGCCTCCTCCCATGGGAGTCGTTAGGCCAAGGCCCGCCCCCTTCTCTGCATTCTGGGGTGACTAGAGTAATGCAGCGTGGTGCAGAGGATGGTTTATAAGGACATGGTAGGCCTCAGTTAGGCCTCCGTGGTATATAAGTCCTTCTGAGCAGGGTTAGGCCGTCTTTCGCTTCACGAGGAAGACTGGGTCTCCTGCCCGACCCTGCCGTGCAGAACTGGCCTACGGATTTAGGCCGCCAGTATAGGCTTCACTTACTTCGCTGAGCTACTGCTCGAGCGCCGGGTTGTAGGTGGTTGGCTTTCATTCAAGCCCCACTCCCCTAGGTTGGGTACATATACATTTCTGTCACCCCTAGAGCCGCTGGCAGGCCCGCCCCCTGGTAACCTCAGGGTGAGGTGTGAGTATTCCCCTGTGATTGAGGGTAGGTCTGAGTACTTCACTCCCAGTTCTGTTTATCCTACCTCGCACCACTATGGCTCGGGTCGAGTATGAAGTAAACCTTCTCTTCTTCTTTGGTCGAAGTACGCTCCCCTGTAGCCAGAGCATTGCCCTGAGCTGACGCCCATGCATAGATGGTAGGCCCCTGACCAGGGCTCCAGACTAACTTTTTTTCACCTCCGTCCTGAAACCGTCCTGATAAACAATTTGAACCGTCCTAAAGTGAATGTCAACCGTCCCAAAATGAAAATGTTGTTTCTGTACTTTATTAATATCACCTATAGTTGTTAGTTGTTAGTCACATAAAAACACCATTAAAGTGTTTATGATATATATTATATTTAGTTAGCTCCATTCAAAGTAGTTATCTGTAAATAGGTAAAAAATGCAGAACAAATCTTTTTTTTTTTTTTTTTTTTTTTACATGGTTGGATTAAACAACAAATACATACTGGTGACTACATCTCAAAGTGGTAATGTGTCATAGCTGATCATCTGGAAATGTGTTATTAAGAGAAAGGGCTTTAAAAAAAGT